CCAGACCAATACTCCAAGAAAATTTTGTTGTTTTAATGGAGAGGACCAAATTCTAGTTTTGTATCAGTGTACTTTTCATACTAATGATCAAGTTTTAGAAAAACTTACAAATAATTTTCTTCTAATCTTAGCCAGCTTAACACACAAAATACCTTTCACAAGATTTATCTGCCACAAGCCTTCTACAGCTTTCTCATCCATTTGGTTTTTGTCCTATACTTTTTTCTTTTCTTTTCTTTTCTTTTTTTCTGTTTTTGCCCAGCCTAGGCAACTTGGTATACTTTTTCCTCTTCTCATTTTGGAACAACCCATCATTCTACTTTAGGACAAAAATTACAAACCGGGCTCGGTGGCTCAGCCTGTAATCCCTTGCCTTTGGGAGGCTGAGGTGAGTGGATTGCCTGAGCCCGTGGGTTTGAGACCTGCCTGGGCAGCGAGACCTCATCTCTACAATAAATCAAAAAATCAGCTGGGCGTGGTAGCGCATGCCTGTAATTCCGGTTACTCGGAAGGCTGAGGCGGAAGGATTGCTGGAGCCCAGCAGGCGAGGCTGCGGTGGCCGGGAGCGGCCACTGCACTCCAGTCTGGGCAACAGAGTGAGACTCCAACTCAAAAAAACACAAATCAACAACAACAACAAAAAAAAACAAAAAACAACAACAAAATTACTCTTCCCCTTAACAACACAAAACACCCTCATATCTCATAGCTTTTCTTCAACAAGAGCACATCTTACCTTTTCTTGTATACTTGCATATAGAACTGTCTCCTTTATTACTTTTAGTAATTACTTTATATATATTACTAAATATATAAATTAGAAATCTTAACCCTTATTGCTTCTAATTGCCAGTGAATACTGGGAAAGAAATAATTGTGAACTGTCTGTCAAACCAGCAATCTATGGATCAATGTCTGTAAATAATAATTGCTAGAAGCATACACTTTCTCATAGTACAATTTGTCAGTATGTCACAGAACCTGTTCACTAACAGTCTCAAATATCTTTACTCTCTTGGTAATAAAAAAAGTCTAGAGGAAGTAATATTTTTCTCTGTCCTCCTTGGTTTTTGTTTGTTTGTTTTTTGAGTTGGGATCTCACTCTTTCTCCCAGGCTGGAGTGCAGTGGCACAATCAAGGTTCACTGCAACCTCAACCTCCTGGGCTCAGGCGATTTGTCTATCTCAGCCTCCCGAGCAGCTGGGATTATAGGCACACACCACCATACCTGGCTATTGTTTTTGTTAGTTTTTTTGTGGAGATGAGATATCACTATGTTGCCCAGGCTTTTCTTGAACTCCTGGACTCAAGCAATCCTGTTTCAGTCTACCAAAGTGCTGGGATTACAGATGTGAGCCACCACACCCAGCCACATTTTAGATGTTTTGACATATATATAGACATTCATAAGCATATAGACAGAAATAGATCTTATAGCTTTTGTGCTAAAATTTTAGCCATGTGCCAGGTACAATAATACAAGTTAACTAATTTATTAAAGAATATTTGGAAACAAATTGTTTTTCTGGCCAATGGAATAAGATTTCCTGCATAGATGGTTAAAGCTTTTGACTAATATTTGTGAAAAAGACTAAGATTTTTTTCATTTGCCTTCTATAAAGAATCTTCTAAGCAGATAATCTTTGATTCATTTAACTTTTACCATGTTTCTGTGCAACAATTAAATAATGCATTTCATTGCTTTTGTGCATCTTGGATCCTTTTTTTTCTAATGCTCTTTGCAAGTGAACAATTTTATTCAACTTTTTGACTGCAGCTACTGTAATTCTAAGTTGTCCTTAATAAGGTTAAATCATTTAAAAAAATACACAGCCAAGCTGGGCTTGGTGGCTCAGCCTGTAATCCCGCGCCTTTGGGAGGCTGAGGTGAGTGGATTGCCTGAGCCCGCAGGTTTGAGACTCGCCTGAGCAACTTGGCGAGACCTCATCTCTACAATAAATCAGAAAATCAGCCGGGCGTGGTAGTGCATGCCTGTAATTCCGGCTACTCAGAAGGCTGAGGCGGAAGGATCGCTGGAACCCAGCAGGCGAGGCTGCAGTGGCCGGAAGCGGCCACTGCACTCCAGTCTGGGTGACCAAGTGAGACTCCAACTCAAAAAAAAAAAAAACACAGCCAGCCTGGGCAGCATACCAAGACCCCATCTCTGCAAAAGTTTTTTTCAGAAAAATAGCTGAGTATGGAAGTGTCTACCTGTTGTCCCAGCTACTCGGGAGGCTGAGACAGGAGGATTTCGAGACTGCAGTGAGCCAAGATCACACCACTGCACTACAGCTTGGACACCAGAGGGAAACCCTGATTCAAGAAAAAAAAAAAAATACAGACTCTGGGCCCGTAATTTTTGTACATAAAATTAACTGGTGTCCCAGAAAGTAGAGTCCCAGACTCCTTGAGTCTCAAACTTCTTAGATTTGGAGGAATATATTTTTAAAAGGTACTGATCCAAGTTCTGTAATGAGCCAATCCAATTATCAGACCCAATCTGATCCTGGATTCAGTCTAACAAAAAATGCTCAAATAAAGTTACAGAACTCAAAACACAAATCTGTGGAGCTCAAATCCAAGAGAGAACTTACCCATGACCCAAGTTGCTACGAGAGATCAATGGGCACAGTGGGCCTGGTACCTTTGCTTGGTCACTCAGTGCTTCTGGGGATCATTGGAGGTTCACCTCAGATCCCACTTCTGACACCAATTTGTTAAAAGAAAACCTTTAGACAAATTAAATTTAGCAGAGTTTATTTGAACACAGAACGTATTCAGGAACCAGGCAGCACCCTGAACCAGTAAAGTCTTCATCCAGCAATATGGGCAGGCTGTATTTATAGACAGAAAAAGAAAACGACATATGAATAGCCTGATAGGTGGTTACAGCTTGGTGTTTGCCTTAATTGGACCTGTCTGAGTCATTCACAGCCTGTGATTGGGAAAGCCTGGTTGCTATGACTGGTGGAGACTCAGCCTGCTACAAAATATACTCTCAAGTTAGTCAGCAGTTTATCAAATTGCTACAAAAATATACTCTCAAGTTAGTTGGCAGTTTATCAAGTTAAGTTAGGTCACAATTTGCTGTGCACTGATGCAGATTTAGGTTTAATTTAATTTAATAGAGCATAGAGATAGGTTTGAAACACACATTTACATATATAGAAATGTACACACGTATACACAGTTTATTTTGTTTCTAACCAATGGAATAATATTCTGTACAGTAATATGCTTTTTAAATCTAAAAACATATAAATACATCAATCACATTCTTCCACTTTATATATTGATATAATTTACCACTTAAACCATTTTTAGATGTACAGTTCAATGGCAGTAAGTACATCCTCATGTTTTGCAACCATTACCACCATCCATCTCTGGAACTTCTCATCATCCCAAACAGAAACTACATACCCATTAAATAATGGCTTCACGTTCCCTACATCCATCAGCCCTGATAACTTCTATTCTATTTTCTGTTTTCTATGACTTTGACTATTCTTTGTACCTCATATAAGTGAGATCATACAATATTTGTCCTTTTGTGTCTGGCTTATTTCACTTAGCATAATGTTTTCAAGGTTTAGCCATGATAAACTTTTATGGCTGCAAATTATTTTGTTGTTTATTCTAATTTTTAATTTAATTTTTTTTAGAGATGGAGTCTTGCTCTGTCACTCAGGTTGGAGTTCAGTGGTCCAGACATAGCTCACTGCAGCCTCAACCTCCTAGGATCAAGTGATCCTCCTGCCTCAGCCTCTTGAATTGCTGGGACTATAAGTGCACGATACCAGCCCAGCTAACTTTTAATTGTTTGTAGAGACAGGTCTCGCTATGTTGCCCAGGCTGGTGTTGAATTCCTGGCCTCAAGTGATCCTTTGACTTCGGCTTCCCAAAGTGCTGGGATTACAGGCATGAACCACCATGCCCAGCCCTGTTATTTAAATACATTATATATATATATATATATATATATATATACACATTATATATATATATATATACACATTATATATATATATATATATATATACACATTTTATATATATATATATATATATATATATACACATTATATATATATATATATATATATTTTTTTTTTTTTTTAATCCAGTCCCCTACTGTTGGACATGGAGGTTGTGTTGTGTTTAATCTTTCACTTTTACAAAGTGTCACAGTATCCTTGGGGAGACATGCCTTTGTGTATTTGTGTCAGTATTTTTGGCTGGCGAATTTGGAGCCCTTTATATTGTATTTTAAAGTGTTTCATCATCTAGAGTCTGATGTGAACCTCTGCCCTTGCTTGGTCTCCTCATTCTCATTCCTTCCACTGAGGCTGGAATGGTCAGGCCACAGTAGGTGCTCTGGCCTGGAGGCAGGAATTCTGACCAGACAACCACAGAAGGTGACAAGGACACTACTGAGATTTGATTTATTTGTTAGGGCTCCAGAGTCAGCATCAGTTCTCCAAAGCTCCTTCCCTGTGTACTTCAACACCAACATACACACAGAGCTAAGGGTTTGGAGGAACACCAGGGAAGGACTCCCTGGGTTGCGAGTAACTGGTAGATTTGGTTTGGAAGGTTGGCCTTACCAGTCGGGACGTGTTTAGAACTCTCCAGATCCTAACACCTATACCCACAGCCACCAGCTTCTCAAAAACCATCTAGTCCAACACTCTCTACCCTCAGTGTCCAGGGATACCGAGGCTCAGAGGGGATGAGACCAGCTAGGGTCACTCAAGAATAGGGTGACCAACAACCTTCTGCTTGCCTGGGATTGTCCCCGTTCTAGCATCGAATGACCCACGTCCCAGAAAACCTCTCAGCCCTGGGCAAAGCTCTGTTCAGCCTTTGGAGACAGAGAGACAGAGATGGAGCCAAGATCAGACCCACTTCCAGGCTCTGGTGCTCCCCTCATACCTGCCCCTTAGGCCGTACTGTTGCCCCCACAAAAAAAGAGTGACTTGCCCTCACGTTGCCTTCCAGACGGGAAAGCTGAAGCGGTACTTCACGGACCTGGAGGCCTTGGCCATGGTCACTGCTGCCTTCTGCCATGACATTGACCACAGAGGCACCAACAACCTCTACCAGATGAAGTGAGTCGTCTTGCGTCCCTGCCTCCCTCCCACCCCCACCCCCAGCCCCAGCTCTGTGTGGTCCCCAGGCAGACTCGCAGGCCGAGGGGGAAGTCTCGCTTGCAGCGACCCCGCGCAGCTGCCTTGAGGGCCCCGAGAGGGAGCTGAGAGAGATTAAGAAAGACGCAGACACAGAGACATAAAGAAAAACTGGGGCCAGGAGGGCCACCTTCCTCTGAGGGAGGAGAAGTGGCCCTGAACTAGCTCAGCACGTTTATATTATCATCAAGCACAAAAGAAGTTGGGAGGGGTTCAAAGCCCATGAGGGAGCTATAACAGAATTTTGCTGTTACCTAAATGGCAAGTTGCTCCGCGGTTATCTTGTTGTTGCTAAGGCTTTATCTGTACTATTTGGGCCTGGGTGTGTAGGCTCTGAGATGCCATTCCGTGTAGTAGACTGCATTCCTTGCTCTTTGGCTAGGGTGCAGAGCAAGCAAGCAGGACCTCGCCTTCACTTGGGGCCTCGCCTTTGCTCAAGGCCTGCTGTCCGAACAGCACTCATCTGCTCCCCACGCTCGCTGTCCACAGCATCCCCACTGCCTTCTTCCCTTGGGTTCGGGTCTCTCCTGTGGGGAGCAGAGTAATGACCTCCCTCTCCTCCCCAGATGTCCACATCCCAAGCCCTGGAGCCTGGGAGTACGTTGCCTTACATTAAAGAGGAACTTTGCAGAGGTGATTAAATTAGGATTTTGAGATTTAGGGATTATTTGGGCTTACCCCCTCTAGTCCAAAGGGACCTTTCAAGAGGCGTCTGAGGGTCAGAGAGGAGAGAAGTGACTGCTCCGCTAGCCTGGCAGATGGAGGAAGGGGCCGCAAGCAAAGAATGCAGGTCATCTCTGGAAGCTAGAAAGGCAAGATAACAGATGCCCCTGGAGCCTCTGGGAGGCAGCCCTGTGGACCCACTTCAGACATCGAGCTCCAGAGCTGTGAGATAACACATGTTGATTGTTTGAAGCCATCAAGTTAGTGGCAGCTTGTCACAGCAGCCATAGGAAATGAATACCTTCATTCCTCTACTCTCCCCCTCCCTGCCCCACCTGCTGAACTGACTTGAACTCAGATGTTGGTGGCCAGTGCCAGCTTGTTTACACCCCTGTGTTTGCAACACTCCTACTGCAGCGTGGTGGGCTCTGTGCTGGGCAGAGGGGTGCCAGGGTGAGAGCAACACCGACATCACTCCTGTCTCCGGAGTACAATCTTCAAGCTGAGATCGTCCTGGGTCCTCATGGCCACGCACAGGGCTGGGCAGAACAGGGGCTGATGGCATCCCCATTTTACAGATGAGGAAATTGAGGTTCCATCCAGGGCCACAGCCCCTAAGTCTTGAACAGACACTAGAATTCAGCTTCCCTGAGTCTTCTCAATATTTCCATGCTACCTGAGGTTGGAGATTGTGTTTACATTTTACGACATGGAAATCTAAGTACAGCACGCAGGGCTTGGCACATAGCTTGGTGCTCAACAAATATTTATTGAATGAAGAAGTGAATGAACACACTGTTTGCAGAGTTTAGTGACTTCCCCGCAAAACTCAGGAATGGAGGGTCTGAGGCTAGGTGATTCAAAGCATGGCCCAGTGCCAATGTCTTTAAAATTGCAGGTGAGCCAGGCATGGTGGCTTCATGCCTATAATCTCAGCACTTTGGGAGGCTGAGGTGAGGATCACTTGAGTCCAGGAGTTCAAGACCAGCCGGGCAACATAGCAAGGCCTCGTCTCTACAGAATAACAAAAAATTAACCTGCCGTGGTGATGCATGCCTGTAGTTACAGCTACTTGGGAGGCTGATGTGGAAGGGTCACCTGAGCCCAGAAGGTTGAGGCTGCAGTGAGCCAGGATTGTACCACTGCACTCCAGCCTGGGCAACAGAGTGAGACCCTGACTCAAAAAAAAAAAAAAATTAAAATTGCATGTGGCACTGTGCATATTTGTGCCTTCAGTTGCTTCTCTGAAGAGCCCATGACAGCAGAGAGACTCAGAACCACTTGTGGAAAAAGCTACAGACTGAGAGGCAAGAGGTTTGACATTGAATCTTAATAGTCCATCGTCCATTCCCTACTGACTCTCTCTCTTTCTTCCTCACCCAGGTCCCAGAACCCACTGGCCAAGCTCCATGGGTCCTCCATCTTGGAAAGACATCACTTGGAGTTTGGCAAAACATTGCTCAGGGACGAGGTAGGACAAGGTGCTCTGTGCTGGCCTGGGGGCCTGGACCAAAGAGTCCACCTCACAGGCAGCCTGAGTGTGCAGGCAGCATCTTTCTGCTGGTCGAGCTGCCTCTGCCCTCATCTGGGGTGGCCGTTGGTGGTTGGTGACTTGACTACCGGCACATCTCCCTGCATCTCTGCTCTGGTTTTTCCTTTAGAACCTGAACATCTTTCAAAACCTCAACCGCCGGCAGCACGAGCATGCCATCCACATGATGGACATCGCCATCATTGCCACAGACCTCGCCCTGTATTTCAAGTTGGTATTTCTTCTCACTTTAACAACAAGAATAGGCTGGGCACAGTGGCTCATGGGAGGATGAGGTAGAAGGATTGCTTGAGGCCAGGAGTTCGAGACCATCCAGGAGTTTAAGATCAATATAGCAAGACCTGTCTCTACAAAAAAGAAAAGATTAGCTAGGCGTGGTGGCACACACCTGTAGTCCCAGCTACTCAGGACGCTGAGGCAGGAGTATCACTTGAGCCTGGGAGGTTGAGGTTGTGGTGAGCCATGATTGTGCTACTGCACTCCAGCTGGGGTGACACAGTGACACCCTGACTAAAAAAAAAAAAATTAACAATAATATTACTACCAAGGAGAAGAATGATTGTAATAACAAACTCTGTAGTTCCAATGCACTTACTATGCTCTATGTGTTAGACACAACACTTGTGCTATGTTGTGTGTTGAATCTCGCTACAACCCTGTGAGTTAGAAAGTATTACCCCCATCATACAGATGGGAAAACTGAGGATCAGGGCTAGATATTTGCTAAACTATCAAATCAGTGACAGAGTCTGTGTTAGAAACTAAGTGTTCACACCCAGACCTTAGTTCTTTCAACCTTGTCTTGTGGATTACATAGATTTAATGAGCCTGCATCTGAATCAGCCCATGTTAGAAGCCCTGGTGTGGCCTCTTTCTTTCCTTTTTTTTTGAGTTGGAGGCTCATGCTCATGGCCACGGGAGCCTCGACCTGCTGGGCTCTGGTGATCCCTCCACCCCAGCCTTCCAAGTAGCCGGAGCTACAGGCGTGCACTACCACACCCGGCTAATCTTTGATTTATTGTAGAGGCGAGGTCTTGCCAAGTTGCCCAGGGTGGTCTCAAACCTGCAGGCTCAGGCAATCCACTCATCTCGGCCTCCCAAAGTGCTGGGATGACAGGCTGAGCCACCGATCTCTGCCGTGGCCTCTTTCTAAGGCTCACACCCTTTAACGGTGGGTGTGTTTTGTAGGAAGAGGACGATGTTTCAGAAGATTGTGGACCAGTCCAAGACGTACGAGACTGAGCATGAGTGGACACAGTACATGATGCTGGAGCAGACGCGGAAGGAAATTGTCATGTGAGTTGAGACCTGGGAAGCTCTGACCCTCCTAAGCTCAGGATCGGGAGGTGAGAAGTGTGGCTTGGGCAGCTCTGGCTGCCCCCAGGTCCTGGGTCCTTCCATTCTGGAGGCCTCCAGCACCCAGAAAAGGGAAGTCATGTCAAGACCTAATTGCACATGTTGTAATATGTGTTTAATCTTTATTTTAGCACTAAAAGTACATGATAACATATTATTGTTTTATTTCTCTGTACACAAAAAGCATTATCATTTGAGGTATTCTGATCATAAATTCTAGGATTTGGGTGGTAAAGTGATGTAACTTTCTAGTTTTTGATCAGACAAAAAGCACTGTGCCAATTATGGTTTGGGGGATAGCTGTGAGTCACCCAAAGTACGGGCTTAATGTTCTAGGCATTCCTTTACAGAGGACAGTGTCCTGTGGTGCAGCTGTGCTGTTCACACATGGGTTGTGATTTATATGACATGTGTAGCGTGCATGGCTGGTGTGAAGGGACCCAAAGTCAAGCCGTCTGGTGGGTGTCTCCCTGTTCTCTCAGCATGCTGCCATGGTTCCCCTCAGTTGATGGTGGGTGCGATATGTGCATTTGAGGCCTTTTATGAGCACGTGGCCCAAGCCAGATGGTCCCTGGCTTCTCCATGATGGGTCCTGGGCAGGGATGGTGATGGGCAGGAAGGGTCTCAAAGAGAGCCAGGGCCTGCCCCTGTAATTTGTAGCCGGTGGCTCTGTGGACGTGGGGCTTGAAGTCCCAAGGGCCGCTGCAAATCTCTGCAGCAGAGAAGTAGAGGCCGCTCGGACAGTCTCAGGAAGAGGGTCAAGTGACCTCCTCAGCCCTGAAGTTGTCCACGGGGGCCTCCACAGAGGTCCCGGATCCTAGGGTGGTGTCACCTGCATCCACTGAACAGGGGCACGCTCAGCCTCCAGTTGCCCCCGAGCTGACCAGGAGTGGCCCCACTGGACATTACAGAATGGCTTAGCAGAAGAATCGAGTGGGTGGAAGGAACACCCTACTCTCAGATAGGGGAACTTATATTAGAAAGCTGTCTATTCTCTCTAATTAATTACTCACTTAAGACAATTCAAAAAAATACCCATTTTATTTTGGGGGAAGACAATTCAAAAATTCTTATGAGAAACAAACATGCAAAAAGAGCCAGAAAAAAATATTTAAAAAGATAAAAAGAAGGCCAGGCATGGTGGCTCACGCCTATAATCCCAGCACTTTGAGAGACTGAGGTGAGAGGATTGCCTGAGCCCACGTGTTCGAGACCAGCATGGGCAACTTGGTGAGACCTCATCTCTACATTAAAGAAAAAAAAAATAGGCAGGCATGGTGGCACGTGCCCGTAATTCCAGCTACTTGGAAGGCTGAGGTGGAAGGATGGCCTGAGCCCAGCAGGTAGAGGCTGTAGTGGCCGTGAGTGCAGCACTGCACTCCAGCCTGGGTGACAGAGTGAGACTCCAATTCAACAGCAACAACAAAAAGATAAAAGAAAAAGAATAGCCAGAACATTTTAAAATAGAAGAGTAATAACAGGGAGTAGCAGAACTAAAGATAGTGCAGGCCAAGCATGAGAAGGTGGCCAGGTGGGGCCATCTTAGCCTACATGTGTGTTCGGAGTGGGTTTTGTAGCCATGGAGAAAGGTATAAGTTTATAAATGGTGTTGGGACAATGGGACAGCCACAGGTGAGATCCCTACCTCACTCCTAACACCAAAGTGAATTCCAGATGAAGCAAATATTTTAAAATAATGAGGAGAAAAAGAGGGAGGGGGGAAAAGAATGGGAGAACAAAAAAGAATGCTTTCAGAGTGAGTTTTTTCAAGTGAGATATGAAATGTATATCTCAAAAATAGATGGATAAATTTGACTACATAAGCCGGGCTCGGTGGCTCAGCCTGTAATCCCGCGCCTTTGGGAGGCTGAGGTGAGTGGATTGCCTGAGCCCACAGGTTCGAGACCCGCCTGGGCAGGCGAGACCTCATCTCTAATAAATCAAAACATTAGCCGGGCATAGTAGCACATGCGTGTAATTCTGGCTACTCGGAAGGCTGAGGCGGAAGGATCACCGGAGCCCAGCAGGTCGAGGCTGCGGTGGCCAGGAGCGGCCACTGCACTCCAGTCTGGGCGACAGAGTGAGACTCCAACTCAAAAAAAATAAATAAATAAAAAATTAAAAAAATTAAAAAATAAAAAACATGTGACCAAAGTCAGAATACAGGCGGTAGCTGGGGAAAGTATTTGCAACACTTCTCACAGAAAGAGAATTGACTTCCTCAGGAAAGAAAATGTTAATGCAGTTCAAGAACTTTCTAGAAAATGGGCACAAGGTACCAAACGGACATTTCCCAGAAAGGGAATTACAGTGGGGTATAAATATATGAAACGGCGATGACCTTACTTAGGCCGAGAGAAATGCAAAATGACACCACAGTGACACAGAACTTTTCGTTCCCCTTGGCAGAGACGAGATGTTTCATAACAGCCCTGGTGGGTGGAGGGGCAGGCCTTGCTGTGGTGGGCGTGGATGGGTGCAGCCTTTATGGAGGGCAATTCGGCAACGCCTAACTGTCCAAACTGCCAGCTCCCGTACTCTCTGACCCAGTGATCCCCGTGCAGGGCTCCCTCCAGATATTTCCCCGTTTGTGCACAGAGCATGCACGAAGCTCTCGGTTGTGGCTGTTTGTAAAACAAACGTGAGGGACTGGGTTCAATAGATCATGGTTCTTCATACCATAGCGTGTCTTACTCACTTTACAAAGAAATGCTGTCATATGAAAGATCGTGTTTAGCCGGGCTCAGTGGCTCAGCCTGTAATCCCGCGCCTTTGGGAGGCTGAGGTGAGTGGATTGCCTGAGCCCGCGGGTTCGAGACCCTCCTGGGCAACTTGGCGAGACCTCATCTCTACAACAAATCAAAAATCAGCCGGGCGTGGTAATGCACGCCTGTAGTTCCAGCTACTTGGAAGGCTGAGGTGGAAGGATCGCCGGAGCCCAGCAGGTCGAGGCTGCGGTGGCCGGGAGCGGCCACTGCACTCCAGTCTGGGCGACAGAGTGAGACTCCAACTAAAAAAAAAAAAAAAAAGAAAGATTGTGTTTAGTGTTTAAAAGCAAGGCTCAGCGCCTCGGTTGTTGGAAAGGTCCAGGCAGTCTCCAGCGGATGTCTTCAGATAGAGGCTCAGATACCCCGGTACTCATCGCCTTTCAATACATCTGCAGGCTCAGGTGACCTTGAGGGAGTGAGCTAGTGTTTTCTTTCTTAAAATCCCCGGGGAAGCGGGAGTGCAGCAGCATAGCTGTCTCTCACCCTTGCCCGACTCCAGCCTTCGTTGACTCTTCCTACAGAACCTTGTGTTAGGTACAGAAACATCTAGGCGATCACACAAAGGGACTATTTGGAAGACAGTGTCACTCCTGTTCTCAGGCGAATACCAAGATCCGTGCATACTCAGGTCTGTGGGTCCTGTGGAACCTGTGGATATGAAACATCGGCCCTCCCTAGACATGGTTTCTCATCCTCTAGTTTGTGTTTAGTTGAGAATTCCATGGCTCAGGGGACCTGCGCAGTTCAAACCTATTCTGTTCAAGGGTCAGCTGTACCATTGTCTTCAAAGCCTCTTATAATTCAGGGCTGCAGGCCCTCCCTTTTTGTATGTTCTGATCAACATGCCCATTTCTCTACGCTCTCACCCTGAACACTTCCAACACCAGATGTACTGGGTGTTTAATCCCACACCGACCAGTTTCCTGGTTCAGACACCAACTGGATGTCCTCCAATTCAGTTCAACTCCGACACTGTGTCCCTGGAGTTAACCTCAGCTCCCGCAAGTTAAGGGCCCAGCCCCCCCCACGACTGTACCCACTTCAGATGCCATTGCCAGCCTGGGCCTCCCCCTAGTTCTGAACAACTGACTATCAATGGAAGCTTCCCATGACTACTTCCTTGGGTTTGAGAACTTGCTAGAATGGCTCACAGAACTCAGAGGAACACTTGAAGTTTATTGGTCTATTATAAAGAACACAGATAAACAGCCAGATGATGGGTGTGCAGGGCAAGGTGTGTGGGAAGGGTCCCCAGCACAGGACTCTGTCTCCATGGAGAGGAGTTGGGTGCACCACCCTACCGGCACGTGGGTGCGTTCAACCAACCCAGAAGCTCATCACATCAGTTATTCAAGAGTTTACTTAGAGCTTGCTTTCCAGGCGCCAGCGCCGTTCTTGGTCAGTGGGTGGGGTGTGCAGGGGCAGCAGGAGTGAAGGCATTTTTTATTTAGCAACCTGAAGGTATCACTGCTCAGGGGTCATATCAGAACAAAGACACATCAGTAAGCATTGCTGAAGGTGGCAGCATGGACTTCAACCTTCCCACTATTCACCTTCTATCTTTCATCTATCTATCTATCATCTATGTATCTACGTATCTATCAATCATCTATCTCTATTCATCTTTATCTATCTATCATATCTATCTATTCATATATTCTGTCATCTATCTTCTATTTATCTATCTTCTATCCATCTGTCTCTTCTATCCATCTATCTGTCCATTCATCCATCTCCATCTTCTGTCATCTATCTTCTACCTATCACCTAGCGATCTATCTCTCTATCCCTCTCTCTCTCTCTATTTACCTATCTTATATCTATCTATCTACACCTATGTTCTACTGTCTATCTTCTCTTTATCTCTGTCTTCTACCCATCTGTCTTTCTGTCTCATCTATCTCATCTATCTATCATCTTCTATCTATCAATTCACCCATTATCTATCTATCTATCTATCTTCCTTCCTTCTATTCATCCAGCCATCTATCTACCTACCTACCTATATATCCTCCATTGAGATACCTCTACCTTTCTCAGCATTAAAAATAACAGCCATAGGCATCCTTTCTAACATGCCTATTTAGATTGAAAAATAAAGTCAGATCCTTTCTGACAGAACCCAGTCTGGTCTGGCTGTGTTAGTTGCCAGGGGAAGACTAGCATTTCCAA